GCACGCGTTGTGTGATTTGAGCGGAGGGTCACGTATGTTTGTGCATCGCGGATTAGTGAGCGAAGTTCGTAGAACAGCAAGTCAAAGTAATCGGATGTGCGAGTGAGGAACTTGCGGAAGCCACGTTCCAGAGAAGCCCGGACGGAAAACTTTTGCGCGTTGATGAAAGATGCAACCAGTGTGGCAATTGCGGCATCGACGTCATCATCAGTGACGTGCTCACGAAGTGACATCTTAGCCTATAAACATATTTGTTGCAAATCGTAGTTGACAGCGTACCGCACGGAATCATCTCACCCGTGCCTCTGCCATTCGCATGAGGGACTCGAGATGGCGGACTGCAATAGGCACCCCACCGCAGGTCGCTGATTCTCGGCGAAGGTCAGCATAAAGGCGCGATATCTTGTCCTGGTCAATAGAATGCAACCGAGGGTAACATGTGGAGCGTGCATGCGCAAGATACTTCCGAAGCATACTTTGCGGGATTGCATGCTCGTCACCTCCACTCGCTGATGACAGCTTGTTGCCCAGGAGATCACCCTCCGACGGGGGGATGCCAAGGTTATCACCACTATCACGTATGCCGACGGTGCCTTTCTGTGCCTATTGCACTTCGGTCAAAAGAATTTCTGGACATGACCACCTTGCGATGAGAATCAACAACAAACGCAGCTAGTTGTTCGTCAAGAAGCCTGCAAGAATGGAGATTGCTCGAAAGATCTAGCATAGATTATGTGGACACTAGAGAGACGGGTCGACCATATCTTGAAGTGTGCAAAGGATATCGAACCGCTGAATAATGGGGTCCTATACGATCGAATTGTTGGACTAAAGTGTGGAACGTTCCAACGTTGGGATTTGCCGTGAGCTCTACGTTGTCCGCAAATGTGGCACTCGAATCATACCTAATTAAACCTGTCGCACTCATTCTGTACGTTTCAACGCAGTAAGTGAGCTGGCCGCCGATAGGATTTGCAGCCGCAACAACAGAGCAACGTGCTTGGAGCGAAGTTACTATACCTGCCTACAAGGTTGGTGCTGGAATCACACCGCTTAACTGGGCATGTTGATTCTCGCTCTAGATCGCACCTTCGAGACACTTATTGACTGTTGTTCCATAGCTTCGTGGATGGACGTCCGATCTTGCTCATTCATTTTGTCAAATTCGTCGATACAGCACCTTTTTACGAAGGGTTTATAAGAGCAAGGAGCTGAACGCTGCAACTTACATGCCGTTGTCTGCAAGGACTAGGGCGCCTCCTTCGAGGGACCACTCCTTGGTGAGAGGATCCTTGTGCACGCCAGCCGTGAGTCCAACAGCGGACGCACCTTTGCCCGTAGTATAGATGGCACGTGGCAGTATGCCGCAACAGTATTTGAGGAGCTGAGACCTGAAACCCCGATAAATTTTTAGTTCAAGATGTGATAAAATCGGATCTGGAACTTTGCGCAGCCTGGATCCCCGAGGAGCAAGACATTGACCTGTGATTATGATGCATCAAGCCTATAGGTTGCATATACTTTCGCACTGAGACGCGCGTCACCGCGAACACGATGTTTACCATCAACATTTTTGGAGCATCCACCGAACATTGACATTGCCAGAGCTCGCTTTACGTGTTTCTGGCCATAGATAGAGGGTGCTAGTGAAATAGCCTGTGAGATAGCGCAATACTAGGAACTGCTATTAAATCATGCGCGACGAAGGATCCTACAATGAGGCTGTGGATCTTGGGCTCGCGAGCTAGACGGAGAATCGAGCGCCTCTCTCCTTCATCTATTTGGAGCAGAGGTGGTCCCGTGTTAGTCGATTTCTTTGAAACCTAGTTCAACCCTGATGGATCTCTCTCATCGTCTAATACTAGTACATGGTTTGCCTCGATCGTGGTGGAGAAGATTGGAAACCCGGCGCCTACAATGAGACGCCAGATTCACAAATAAGAATTAAGAATTTTAGAAGAACTGTCACCCGAAAAAGTTGTATCGTACCTAGAACTTATAATAATACTCCTCTAATCACCAGGGTTACATCTACTGGGTTTGGGACGAGTGAATATATATGCCCGTGACTTCAACTTCTTCACCCGGTCTGGC